TCCCGGAGCACGCGGCCCTGAGTCCCGCACAGGTAAGCGCCGGGCCGGGGCCGGGCTTCCGGGGCACAGGCAGCGCCCCGAGGCTGGGGAAGGTTGGGAAGAGGGCCGGTAGGAGCCCGAGTCTCCCAGGGCTGGGTGGAAAAAGGAAGTAAACAGAAGGAAGATACAGGAATCCCCAGGATGGTTCTGGTTTCTTCCTGGCACGTTTCATTTTCAGCTTCTACAGATTGGGCCTGAGGGAATTAGGCAAGGAAGGCAGGGACCGAGAGGGATGACACAGAGACCGGTGCTCAGGGCGGAGGTGGCAAGGCCCCTCCGTAAGCCAGAGACAGGAAACCGATGTCTGGTGTAGACAACCGCGCGTGCTGCGTGGGGGCTGCGGGGAAGGCCCTGGTGCGAGGCGCCTGCAGCACGGAGCCGCCTGTGAGGGCGCGGAGGGCCGTGGGAAGCCACCCAGGAGGGAGAGAGGTGCACCTACTTAGTGATGTCCTTTTAAGTTGCAGATGACCGGAGCCACCCGGGCCCTGGAAACCTGCTCCGCGCTCCTGCCAGCCCTTCAGCCCCAGCCCGGAGGAGGCGCTCCGAGGTCGCCAGGTCTCAGTGAGTCCTGGTAGGTGGCCAGTTCCGGAGCCCTTCCGCTGCCCAGTCCTCTTCTCCAGGGCCAGTGGAAGCAGACGCTTGCCAGGATGCCCAGGAACCAGGGCTTCTCCGATCCGGAGTACTCGGCCGAGTACTCAGCTGAGTACTCTGTCAGCCTGCCTTCTGACCCTGAGCGCGGGGTGGGCCGGACCCATGAAATCTCCGTGCGGAACTCGGGGTCTTGCCTGTGTCTGCCTCGCTTCATGCGCCTGACCTTCGTGCCTGAGTCCTTGGAGAACCTGTACCAGACCTACTTCAAAAGGCAGCGCCACGAGACCCTGCTGGTGCTGGTGGTCTTCGCGGCCCTGTTTGACTGCTACGTGGTGGTCATGTGCGCTGTGGTCTTCTCCAGCGACAAGCTGGCTCCCCTCATCGTGGCCGTGGTGGGGCTGGTACTGGACATCATCCTCTTTGTACTCTGCAGAAAGGGTCTGCTCCCTGACCGGGTCAGCCGGAAGGTGGTACCCTACCTGCTGTGGCTGGTGATCACAGCCCAGATCTTCTCCTACTTGGGCCTGAACTTTGCCCATGCCCACTCGGCCAGTGACACAGTGGGCTGGCAGGTCTTCTTCGTCTTCTCCTTCTTCATCACGCTGCCCCTCAGCCTCAGCCCCATCGTGACCATCTCTGTGGTCTCCTGTGTTGTGCACACGCTGGTCTTGGGGGTCACCGTGGCCCAGCAGCAGCAGGACGAGCTGCAAGGGATGCAGCTGCTGAGAGAGGTGAGTCCCGCCTTCCCCTCACCCTGTGTCTTCCCTTGCCGTTGAGGCTCGGAGCTTGCTTCAAGTGGTGGAAGTTGTTTTCTTTGCCCTTGTGTCAAAATGTGACCCAAAGGGGCAGTGACCGGGATTCTCATCTGATGGTGTAGGACCACCTCTGTCTCAGCTCCTGGCTCTGCACACCATGCCATCCAGTGATTGCCCCTAGGGAAAGGAGGCTGTCAGGTCACTGCCGCCTATCTTCCCTCTGACTAAAAGACCTGTCCAGGAAGACTCCTGTAGGCCCAGTCTTGAGATAGCATTGTCCCACCCAGGAGAACCTCTTGTGAGAATTTTGATCTTCATCTGTCACTGCCTACCTCTAACATGTGACTTGACTTGCGTGGGCCCTGTCTGCACCCCTGTAAATGGGGGTACCGCCTGCCCTGCCTGCAGAACATAGCAGTTGTCAGGATGAAAGGAAACGTAGGTGAAAGCTCGTTGGGATAAGGGAAGGGCTGTCGAGAGGGAAGATGCAGTTATCATGTATCCTGCTTCTGCCTCCAGGAACTCAGGGTGCCTCAAGCAGTTAGTTGAGTGGAGAAGGCACTCATGGGGCCACTCCTGGGGGCGTTGTGCTGGCCACTGTGATGTGGGGTCTGCTAGACCTGTGGGATGGTTTCTGCTGGAAGAGGTCAGGTTTTGGCCAAAGCTTAACTTACATAATGTGGTTCCACCAAGTGCTAAGACCCCCCGCCAGACTCAGGGGGACCACAGCAACGGGACACGTGATTGTGGCCTTCTGTGCTCATTATCTGCTGATCCCTGGGAACTCTGTGGATCTTAGAGTCCATGGATTCCACAATCTTACATCCCATTGTCTCCTTCCTTATTTTATACTTGAGCTCAGAGCAGGGAGGTGATGTGCCTGAGGTCACACATTTATGGCAGCCACGTGGCTGGAACATCCTTCTTGCTTCTGCTTCCCCCTGTCTCTCCTGTAGCCCATAGCCTCTGTCACCATGACCGCTATCTCCCTGGGGCTGGGAGCTGAGTCTCCAGGTGCCTTTGGCGGTTGATGCAAGAACCCTGGGGGCTGCCCCACTGCTTCCCAGTTGGTTAGAGATCACGGTTTTCGCTCAGGTTGATTTTTTTCCTAGTTCTTGGGTCAGAGTCCTTTCTCTTTTCCTGTCCCGGCCCAGCGAGTGACCTGTCTCCTGGATGCTCCCTGCTTCTCCGTTCTGCGTGGCTCAGGGGAGGGCTCAGGCACGTTCTGCGTGGCTCAGGCCTGGGCTGTGCCTGTGCTTGTGCTAACAGGTCCCTTTGTTTTTCTCCCAGTTGCTTGCCCTCCTCATGCCCTTGCTGTCAGGACATCTGGGTTGGTGGGATTTAGTGTGTGCCCTGCCTGCTGAAGGCTTTTCGAGAAGCTGCCTGGGAAATCCTGCCACAGTCGTTCCTCTTGGGAATCTGTTGGGGTATAGTCAGCTTGGCTGGCACCATGTGGGGCCTGAGATCGAATTCTGAACTGTTACCTTCTAGTGAATGGTCACTTCCCGCCTTTTTTCACTGCCAGGATCCCTGGGCCAAGAGCTCAGGGTGCCATGAACAGTTAATACAGCTGTACTGTCCAGTGAGGGAGCAGAGCAGAGCAGAGCTTCTCCCAGGGGGAGCGCACAGCCCCACCTCTAACCTCACGGACCGCTTATTGGTAGGAGTGTCCTGGGGTGGGAGAAAGGGCCTTTGAGGAACATCACGCGCTCATCCCCCGAGCCATTTCCAAGTCTGGGCAGAGTTCTGAGATGGGGCAGAGAGGGGCCCTACCAAAGTGTCAGTGATTCTGGGCTTCAGCAGGGAGCAGACTAAGGGACAGTAGGCAGTGTGTGTCTCTGGGTTGGGGGACAACAAACTGATGACCAGAGAATAAGTCAGAGCTGCCTCCCCAGGGGTGGTGTCAGGCCTGCCAACCTCACGCTGGTGAGAGAACCTGATTCCTACTCCAGGGCAGTTCTGTGGAGGGTGGGGCTGGCCTGGTGTCAACTTGAAAAGATGACCTGCTGGATGCCAGGAGAGGCAGGGTGTATTGACCCGAGCCTCCAGTGGCCCTGGGGTGAGGAGTAAGCTGTGGAAACTGGCCACTGAGAAGTCTTAGGTGAGTGGATAGATTTCACTTCTTCACAAGTTTCTCCACCCATGCAGTAGCCTTCTGATTTATTTTTGCAACGGTCATAGGACTTTAGCACAGGCAGGGGTCCGGGTGAACATCTGGTCCCAATCCCCCGTTTTGCAGAAATAGACAGTCATGGCACATCGGTGGCAGAAAGGAGATGAGAGCCCAGCCATGCTGCTTCCCAGCCCTGGGCTCCTGTGTGATTAGAGGAACATCAGTGTGTGTTCCACGGGCTGTTTGTCCTGTTAACTGAGAGCACAAGGCTACCTCCCCACCACCTCCTGAGGACAGCATGTCTGCAGTTCCTTCCCCAATCTCAGTAGAAGGCACAGCTTGTAGGGACCTCTGGCTCTCTGGTAATGGACTACATGGAAACAGGAGTCTTTTGTCTCCTGGGTTTTTCTTACCCTGTACCTCTGAGGAGGTCTGGGAGAGCCTTCAAGCCTTGTCACTCTGGGGCTCATTCCCTAGGTAAGCAAGGAAGCATGGCCACAGAGCTCACAAGCCCCCGGACATCCATGTGTCGTCAGTAGAGTGTGTGAGTAGCATGCACAAGGCTCTGGGTTCCACCCCCAACACCAAAAATAAAATGAAAATAAAAAAGTTAGCATCCCAGGGGAGCATGACCTTGACATGAAGCAGTGCCCGAAACTTGGCTTTGGGAATAGAGAGGGGAAGGGAAGGGGACTCCTAAGGTTAAACTGGGAGCCTGAGATAGGAGACTGGAGGCCCAGCGTACAATGAGCTGTGTTCCAGAACTTTCTGAGTCACTTGTTTGGGACCAGCGTGACTTTCTAAAAGGTGCTTGGTTCCCAGGCTCACCCACCAAAGTCCTCCAGTCACAGCATCCCTGTGTTCGTCTCCGAGTGCTGTGGAAGCCTTGCCCGGGTGGCTCTGTGGCTGTGGGAGGAATACCTGGGACCATCTCGCCCTGGCACACAGCGGGGAGGGTCGTTCTGCTCTGGGCCTGTGCTGCCTCTTGGGTGGGGGGGCGGG